TCACCACCATCATGATCTTCATCAACATCATCATCATCATCGTCATGATCGTCAACGTCAGCATCGTCGTCATCGTAATCGTCATCATCGTCTGAAACATAAGCATCAGCCGCAGCATCATCACAAGCATCAACACAATAATCGTCAGCATCATGATCATCGTCAGCATCGTCGTCAACATCATCATCATCATCATCACCAGCAACAACATCGCCATCATCATTACCAGCATCATCAACATCGTCACAATCACCATCAGCTTCACCACCATCATCAGCATCATCACCACCATCAACATCATCATAATCATCATCCTCCTCATCCTCATCGTCATCATCATGCGCATCATCCGCACCCTCATCGTCACCACAACAGTCATCAACATCAAGAGCTGCATCATCAATATCATCATCAACATAAACATCAACATCCGTATCACCAGTCCTCGCTCTCATCCTCATCCTCGTCCGTGTCCTCCCTCGCATCCTCATCCTAATCTTCCTCCTGATCCTCCTCCTCAACATCCTCCTACTCATCCTCATCATCAGCATCATAATCATCATGATCAAGATCATCATCATCACATTCATCATCATCATCATCATCATCAGCATCGTTATCATCAGCAGCATCATCGTCATCATCATCATCGTCATAGTCATCAGCATTATCATCATCACTAGCATCATCATCATCAGCATCATCATCATCAGCAGCATCATTATCATCATACTCATCGTCAATATCAGCATGATCATCATCACCAACACCACTCACGTCAGCATCACCAACATCATCAGCAGCAGCATCCGGATCACCACCGGCGGCGTCATCGAAGACATCACCATCACCACCACCACCATCATCATCAGCATCAGCATCATAGTCATCATCATCATCATCACCACCATCATCATTATCAGCATCATCACGATCCCCACCATCATACTCCTGAGCTTTCCTTCCTTTTGATCCCTTGCGCGAAACGCCTGGCTGCATGGTGCACGTTGTAACAGCTTGCCCTGCGCACCCTTAGGCACCCAAGGCTCTCCTCCTTCAGCACAACCTTGCCCGCCGCTCTTCCTCGTTTACGTCCTCCGCCTCCTCATTCCCGCTCCCCTCCCTCCCACCACCCCCACTTCCCCACCTTCCCCCTCCTACTCCCTGACTCTGTCGGGCACCCTTATGTCCTCAAGTACCTCTCCTGGAAATGGGTCAGGCTCCTTGGAGGAGCCAGACTAACGGGAATGACTCGGGCATCGACGGATCGGGAGGAGGAGACACCACGAGGATCGGACGTTGCGTAGGTGTGGCTGGGCGGTCATCCAATTAGGTGCACATGGACTAGTCTATGACGGAGTTGCCAGTGATACCCTGCCAACTAAGGTGCGAAGAGCTGACCGAACATAATTGTCTGCGTTGATCGAGACTGCTGCAGGATCCACTGGAAATCTCCGAGTGTAATGTGAGGATATGGACGTTGCCAAAAATCCCGCAAGCCTACGCGCGGAGTAATGCACACATGTGATTTTTTTTTTCATTTGCTTGCTGCTTTTTTCATTTGCTTGCTGCTTAGAATGGCGCGCGGAATCATTTGCTTGCTGCTTAGAATGTAATGTTGTTTGAATACCAACGTCAACGGCCAGAGAAATACCGAAACGACCCGCTAACTAACAGTGGTTAACGGGCGCTGTGCCCGTCTCGAGGATGCTGGACGCCGTGTCGTCACCCACTCCGCCATCCTCTGTTACCCTTCCTGTGTTGAAGAAAGGAGTGCTTGCCGAGTTCTGGCCAAGCCCTTGCAAACCGAGAGCGACGGTGGAGCGACGAGTTCAGCGACTACTGCCTCGTGAACCTTCCACCCGCTTCGCAAGCCTGATGTTCTAGGCTCTAGGCCAACCGAGCGAGGCGGGAGGAGTGAGGATGAGACTGCATGTGATCACCCTTCTGCTGAATTCTGTCATGTTAGCCACCTTCTTGGACTCGTCCGAGGGGTGCCAAGTTTGCGGCGGACACTGTGTAGAGATCCCACGTGATCTCAAGAAAGAATACGAACCCCTTGACAGCAAGGATGTCCGCCGGCACCCTTGCGGGGCCACCAGGCTGCGAGGATGAGGATTGCAGCTCCCTGCCTGTTCCAGTTGTACTTTCCAGTTTCCACGTTTTCTGCTTCCTTACTGTTAATTGTTGCTGAACGCGCGAGGGGGGGGAGCCCAAAACCAGATTTCTACCACGCCCAAATCGCGTTGTCTGAATTCCTAAGGGGGCGTGGGACACGTAAAAATACATGACACTCGCGTCCTTGAGGCCATCATCCCTAATACAATTAACCATATTCGCGTTCACGAGGCCATAAACCCTTGCAAATTAAATAATAGTTGCGCCGCCGAGGCCATAAACCCCTGTAAATTACACGATATTCGCGTCCCCGAAGCCACACAACCGCGTAAAATATGCAACATCTGCGCCACCGAGACCAGAAACCCATGTAAATTACGGAATAGCCGCGCCCCCGAAGCCATTAACATTAGAAAAGTATACCATATTCGCGTCCCCGGGGCCATAACCCTTCGAAAGTACGCCATACTTGCGTCCCCGAGGCCACAAACCCTCCTAAATTATACGTCGGTTCTCGAAGCCATAAACCCACGTAGATTACTCGATGTTTGCGCCCCCGAGGCCATAAACCCTCGTACATTACACAATGTTTGCGTTTCCGAAGCCACACACCCCAGTGAAATGACTCCATATTCGCGTCCCCGAAACAATGCACCCTCGTAACGTACGCAATACTCGCGTCCCCGAAGCCATAATAATCTTTTGTAAATTGTGCGACGTTTGCGTTCCCGAGGCCACAAGCCTCCGTAAGTTATACAATATTCGCATCCCCGAAACCCCTCATCGTCGAACATTACATAATATCCGCGTTCCCGAAACTACCAAAACCTTACTAAATTACACAATATTCGCGTCCCCAGGGCCATAAACCTCGTAATTTACAATATTTGCATCCCTGAGGCCACAAATCCTCGCAAATTATACAATATTCGCGTCCCCGAGGCCAGAAACCCTTGCAAAATAAACAATAGTTGTGCCGCCGAGGCCATAAACCCTTGTAATTTACGCAGCATTCGCGCCCCCGAAGCCAAAAACCTTCGCAAGTTAGTTAATATTCGCGCCACTGAAGCCATAAACCACCGTAAATGAATATTAGCCCTCGCGTGAAGTTCCGATATTGCTTCACGTCAGCGTCCACACATCCCAACACAGCTCCGGCATGTCCGATTCCAAAAGAGGGAGGCTGGCTGCATGGGGGCGAAGCCCTTGCGGATAAACTCTCGGTTGAACCGGGGCCTACACACCGAAGAGCGGTGACAAAGTTCCTGAGGTCTGCTTTGCTTGTTGTCGAATGCGGCATGAGGAGGGAAGGACGACGAAAGCGCGAGGAGGCGGGGGAAGAGGACGCGCCAGTTACAGGAGAAGGCGTCGAAGGCACCTTTCGCGCGCGGGGGTGAGCGAGGAGGAAAAGATGAGGAGGAGAAGGAGGAGGAAGAGGAGGAGCGGGAGGAGAAGGAGGAACAGGGAGAGGGAGGGGTGTGGAATGGAGTGGGCCCCGTTGCGATGCAAGTTCGGTTTGTCTTCTCCTGGCCTGGAACACTCGAGCCAGCCAACTGCTCGGCTCGGCTCAGGACCTTGGGCTGCAACCCCCGACGGATCCTGCCAAGCTGCTCCCCTCCGTTCTTGGCCGCTCTAAGTTCGCAGGGCGCCTTCAAAGAACGACCCGCCTTATCAGCGCTGGCGCCGCACACAATACAAAACCATACGTAAGGAACG